TTTATACATGTTTTGGTTAAAAAAATATTTTTTAAAATATTGGTACACAAAAATTCAATTTCTAATGTAAACTCCAACTATTTTTTTTATTTTTTGGTAATTTAAAAATGTTAGTTATTGCATAACGTGAGTTTAAGGGAAGATGCAGGGTATTACGTAAATTGTGAAACCGTAGCCTGCCCTTTCTTGTAACTAGAAACTTTCATCTTCCTGCGTCACAGGAATAATCTTTCTTGGGTAAATATTGAGCTCTATTACATTTGTATTCTAAGCCGAGCACGTTTATTTATCACTTCTAAAGAGAAACAACACGGATTCATGCAAGTGGAGCTTTCAGAACGAGGTTAGTGTTTGGAGATTGGATACTATACATGAAACAGTATAACAAACAATTCGTGAATAAGTAACTTTCAGGCATTTCTGAAGTAAATTTTATATTGTATACCTAATTCCAACGCTCGTTTTTTCTCAGAAAGATACAAAAATATAATAATAATAATAATAATAATAATAATAATAATAAAATGAATGTAAACATTCGAAAGCTAATAGAATATAAGTCTTCCAAAATTACCTAAGTATTTGGATTACGTGTCACGGAAAAAGATGTTATTTCAATATACCTCCTTCAATCAATTAAAATTTCTTAAAACTCAGTATGCACTATTAAATTTCTAACATCGTAAAACAATATCTTGCTGAGGATCATGATAAAAAATTGTGAATAACTAATCAAATTATTAATCGATCACACAATCTAAATTGTTTCAGTATTCAAAAGTAGTTTGAGGCGACTGTGTTTGGTTTTCTATTACATCTTTTCCTTATCGTATAATCAATTACAAAAATACCTAGCCATTACCAGGAATATTATGAAACTATGTATGTCTACTCTTGCAATATTGAGAAATAAGTTTCTGAGTCTCATTATTTACAATATCGCAGGAAGCACTTCTGAAAAGAATAACTTGCTTTTGAAAGGAAATATGTAAATTATTACTTACTAGAACCTATTTTCTAACAGTATTCTCCGCGTATGAGTAAAAGTACTGGAATGAAAATTCACGTATCATCGGTGCCCCAGAATCGCGATACTTAAAAAAAAATGTATTTGCTAGTTTTGTTTCGTAAGGGTGCCGTTTATATCGCGCCCGAAGACAAAGTGTTTTATTCTATACAGGCTACTGGGTGTCTTATGGGCTTCCTTATGTAATTACCTTAATGTAGACAACTAATAAAATACTTTGTTTTCTAACTAGTTTTCTTCATTCAATTCCAATGATAGGATTTTTGAGGTACGACACAATTCTGTTCGGGATTACTGTCTATCAGGAGTGTTAACATATGACATAATAATAGTTTGTCATTCATTCTCACGCCAATTATTATGTTGTTACAGGCTTTGGTTTCCAGAAGATCATTTTAAAATTCAGTTCAACTGAACTCAAACATACTTGCAACTAGTCTTTGAATATAATTGTAGAAAGTTAATATTTTATATTATCAGATGTAGGTAATTAAAGCTGTGGAATATTTATTGAGGTCTGAATTTGCCGTTGGGATCTCATAAGCGTGTTCGGTTAGGTTTTGGCTAGACACGCTTCTTGTGCACCGACTATACCATACCCTTTCGATACACTTTCACATTGCTTCAGTCCTCCCGTGCCGGCAGGTAGTCAAGGTATCAGGCAGAGATCATTCCGAATTCGTGGCAGGGCGTGCGGGGGAAGCGCTGTTATTCCGGTAGCGGCTTTGCGGGCGTGGGCGTGGACGAGGGCGTGGGCGGAGGGGGCGAAGG